TTGGTTGATTCCTGTAGGACTCGTCTTCCCTCCACTACCTGCTCTAAGATGAACTCCAAACTTTTTCTCCATCACTAGATCTTCCTCATAGATAAGTGACAGAATTTGTCTGAGTGTCCAATTAGACCACAAATAAAACATAAGTTTGGCAATTTCTCATATTTAAAATGGACCCATTAACTTTTGTCATTCTTCCTCATAGCTCTGGCATCGTCGCAATTTGCGGGAGTTCAGGAGTTTATGTCTTCACTGTGGCCGGTCACCAGAGCCCCGATTCCCAAATTCCAGAGTCTAATGATCGAATCGACCGATCAGAACGACTCAACGAGATCAGCATAGCTTCTGCGGGTTTGCACAGCACCCCAGCTGCACTTCTCCCTACAGTCTTCACTGGTGACCGGCCACAGAATTAACGCTTCAGAAGCTTCCCTTATTCCTCTCCCGACAGTGCGTTTGGCTTAAGGACTAGCGTCTTGAGGTAAATAAAAGTTAAAATTGTATAAAGTTTAGGCTTAAGGTTACTGGGTTAATATTGATTATTCAGTTACAAGGCTGTCAAGAAAATTCATGAATTATTGAAATAATTTTCAATTAATTTGGTGGTAGACTGGTAGTAATTATGTAGTCTGCTTTGCGATTTTCACTAACAATTGTATTTGTGAATTTTAGTTTATTTTTATGTAAGCATGTAGGTATTGTGATGACTGCTCATACGAAAAGCAAGAAGAATAGGATATTAAGAAGTACTCCGTAAAAATTTTTGTGCATTTGCATATGTTTACATATACAAATTTATTCTTTTGATGTTCAGTGTATCTTTCACTTTGAATATGTTGTGTTTCTCATATTGTGTATTTTTTATTCAATTTATCTCATACTCTGTATTATTTTTTTATGACATTAGTGTTATAGAAATCACATTAATACGCTATGACAATATTAAGTGCCCTTTCATCTAGGCCTCTACAATTCTAAAGATGGCCTGTTGATTTTGGCACAGATGCTAAGGAAAAGTGGGATTTATGGTTGTTATTGAACATTTAAAAGTGAGAAATTGGGAATGATTCAGAGACAAAAATACTGCCTAATTTAGTAAAAGTATGCTGAGACGGTCTAAATAGGATATAAGACAATCAAAATGTGTCAAAGGTAGTATTTTGCAGCATTATTATCTTTAAGGGACAACTTAAAGGCTTACACTACTAGTTCAGGTGTATAACAATACTAAATTCAAAGTCTCTCTTTTTATAGGGTATGAAATGCATCTTACCATGTACATTTGGTCTGGTGCATATGCTAGATATTCCATTTTTCTTACTAGCATAAACTGTTTGTAGGGCCATAGAGGTGTCTTGGATGCCTTGGATCAGGTCCTCAATCTTATACGGAAACTTTGTTTTGTTCTGCTACTGTATTTGTTCTTTGTCGAGACTGTTTAAGGTTTGAGCTAGCTTGAGTGTTTGACTGTGTTTATGTTTTTGGGAGTAGTACAGAAACTTCCTCAAATACATCTGTCTGGAGTAATTACTTTTGCTAAACCCTAATAAAAATCTGATCCATCCTTGCCTGGGAAATTTGATTGTTGTTATGTGCGCCCATTATAACACTTCCCTACAGAAACTACACTATTGGCTTTTCCATTAAGTTCTTTAGAAAAAAGTGTATGTGTGTTATGTGTGCTTTTTTCCATGTGACACTGAGCAAAGTGTTTCACCCTAATACATGAATGGAAACTCTTTGCTGGCAGGATTTTAGATCAGATGGCTTTTTGTTCTCCCTCAACCTCAGCCAAGCTAGCAGTTACGGTTGCATGTTTCCTTGGTAGCGGAGCTTTGTTTGCATACGGGGTGCATCTTTCATATTTGAATGTTGGTCCTCAGCAAGCTAGGACCAAGGCTAGGAATGATTTTGTCAAGGATCGAATAAGAAAGAAATACGGGAAGTTATAGCATCTAGCTGTTGCGTGGTTTTGGATCAATTAAGAATCCTACCGATTGTATAGTGCATGGTTTTTAGGATTTTACTTCTTTTTCCATGGAGTGGTCATAACTGTGCTGTCTGTGCATTGTTGATGATTACTTATCTAAAGTTTGGGCAATGATGCATTGAGTTCAATAGTTCTTGTCTTCCTGAGATCAACTCAAATGTGCGTGGAACTATTGTAAAAAAATCGATGCAAACCTAATTGTGCTGTGCATAATGGCTTTAGCAACTCGTTGTGTCAGTCGGTGGATTGTATTAACACATTGCCAATGACTAAATTTGATAGCTTTTTTGACTTGTTGACTGTTTTATTTAATTCAGCAGGGGCATAAGTCAAATAACACCAAGGAAAAGAGTGAAATTGTTGGAAAATAAACACTAGATTAAGTGGGGATCCCAATTAATACCAGAGATCTCAAATTTATAATGGATTGCTACCAACGTTTATAATATTCTAATAATAAAATTCTAATGGGTCATGTTTTGGCCTCATCAAGGCATGGCTTAACTTGAGAAAATTTAGTATAGAACTGCTCCAAATAAGATTAAAACATATAGAAGTAGATATATTTTATATCTAAAATAGTAATTGGATCTGCATTAATGATCTAAATCATTATCCTGCATCGGTTATATTCTTTTTTTTTTTGTAATTCATAAAATGACTTGGGTACAGTTAGTTGTTTGGGTTGGATTTGGGGAATGCCGGTAGCAGTTAGAATGACTTAAAACAATGACTATGCTTTTTTATTTCACCATGTTGAAACTTTGAGTCTTTAACCATTGGTCTCAACCCATAATGGTGTAGTTAAGGGATGTTTGGATCTGATTCTTAAAACTGTTTCTGCTCCTTTAGGGAGCAGAAGTTGGGGTGTTTGGGTGAAAGTGAAGAAGTGATTCTGGTGCTCTAATTTACTCCTAGAATCAGTTTTTTTAGAAGCTGGGGTGACCAGATTCTGAAAACTGATTCTGATTCTGCTTTTGTTTTAAAAAAGAAGCAGAATCAGAATTAGTTCCAAACACCTCCTTAGACATAGTTGTAGACTTGTAGCTATAAATATAGCTATTGTGTATTCCTTTGAGATGTCTCAAGTCTTAACACAATAGAATACATCTGTAATAAACTTGATGCATATGATTTATATGCTCGGAGATAGGGTTATGATTTCAACACTCCATCAAATTGGAGCATATAAATCATATGCATTAAGTTTATTACAGATGCATTCTAGTGTTTAGGGATGGCACAAACCGGGTCGGCCCGCCCCGCTACTGTACGGGCCCGGTCCAGCCCGGGTGTTATTTAGGCGGTTCGAGCTTTAAACCGGCCCGGTCAGGTAGGGCGGTTCAGGCAAGGGCCATGAATTATGCGAACCAGCCCGGCATAACGGCTCTAATTTAAAAAAATAAAAAATAAAAAATTGCAACAAGCCAAACAGGCCTTATAGCCATTGCCCACCAACCCAAACGGCTCTATAGCCGTTGGGAGGCTCCCTTGGGGTCCCGGGCTGAGGTGGGTTGGGGTGGAGGTGGGGTACAAGAAATCTATAAATACTCCATTTTTTCTATACAATTTACTACACATCTTCTCCAAATATTCCTACTCTCTAATCTCTATTCTCTACTAATCTTCTCCATCTTCATCTTCTCAAATATATAACTACATATATTATATTTATAAAATTTATTATCTACTTCACACATAGTTAATATCTAATTATTATATTATTGTTATTTACTTATATTTACATATTACATATACTTAATATATACTTATATATATTAAAGTATTAAATATAAGTGTAATACTCATCTTATAGTAATATACTTATATTATATATACTATAAACATAATATTATATATTACTTAAACAATATTATATCTACTTATACACTTATTATCTACTTATAAATATATATATTAAGTATATCTACTTATACACTTATTATCTACTTATAAATATATATATTAAGTATATCTACTTATACACTTATTATCTACTTATCCAATTGCTTATATCTACTTATCCAATTGTTTACACACTCTAGAACGTGCTAACGGACTATAGAACGAGATATAAGCAATTGGATAAGTAGATAATAAACTCTCTTCAGACGCTTGTTTGCTTCCACAATTGGTTGAAGGCCCAACGTAGAACTCAAGAACTGAGCATCGAACTCACCCGCCACTTTACGTACGAAACAACCGAAGATGGCGGAGATTCCGATTGATTCTTATTTATTAAAAGTGTATTTCATGTTTTAATTTTTTCTCAATTTTCAATTGTACAGTTGTACTACATATTTCAAATAAATATATTTTAACTTTTTTATGTCCAACTAATGTTAACTTAATATTTAAACAACAAAAAATGCCCGGCCAGAACTGGCCCGCTACCCGGCCAGGTAGCCCGACAAAAAATATCCTCATTCACTTTGAAATATGACGAATTCAAATCATTGGGCCGATATTCATTTCTAATTTAGTTTAAATTACCATCTTATTAATTATCTTCCAAAACCCTCCAAATTGGGGGATTTTAAAAATTAAGCATTTGGAGGATTTTGAAGAGTTACAAAAACCCTCAAAAACCACCCCTCCAATTTTTTAAACTCCCAAACATAAACCCCATTAACCTTCTCCTCCCCTCCAAAACCCAACTCCCAAACACACCCTCAGAGAACTGATTCTTTCAGATGCTCATGACATTTTCAGCCAAAATTCCAACTGATACTGCATTACTGCTTTTAAGGATTGTAAGTTTGTAACTTGTAAGTATTAAAACTGGAAAGTTGAACTAATAAAACTGGAAAGTTTGTTATCAGAAAACCGAAATATGGCCGGTTTGTTTTAAGCTTTATATTGATTTAATTTCAAAATAATTTCAATTATGCAGTGTGATAATTTCAATAAACCTGGGAATAGGAAAGTAGCATGTAATTAGTTTATGATCCATTAGCTCCCAAAGAGGTAAACCAGTCAGACTAAAGCATCTACAACTATTGATTCTTGAAGAGGAAAAATGATAACTTTTTTTAGTAACTTCACACCAACGAGAAAAGGAGAATACTAAAAGAGTAGGGCAAATAGATAAAACAAAAGCGATCACAAAATTTAATGAAAAGCATGACTACAAAATTAACGTTTGCCTTTCAAAATCTGGGACAACATTATAGGACAGGTCAACAACTCTCAACATAATGTTTAGAAAACAATTCTAAACTGATAATTTGTGCCTGACACAAATTGCAATATATAAGTAAAAAGGAACAATAATAAAATTGTTTTTACTTCTGCATTTCCTTGAATCTAAGCTGCACCACCAGCAGCCTTTCCTTTCTTCTTCTGAAGTTTCTTCATGTAAAACTCCAGTTCCTTGCCCTCCAAAATGTAACTGTAAAGCCCATATGAACAAATTGTGAGAAGAACATTCACATCAATGATGATTAACACAACTTCCCGCTTGAGCTATAGCATGAATTAATAGCCTCTACTAAGCAAATATACAAGGCACAACTTAAACTCAGACACCACAAAATAATATAAATTTAACTTTGTACAATTCAAATACAAATCAGACTCACAGGAAACAGCATTGATCATATTAAAAATTTAATCATGCACCACATTAAAACTTTTGGGGATTACTAGGCTTGCTATAAATCATGGACTATTGGCATACAATAAACCCTGTAGATCCCTTACAAGCTTGCTGTAAACAATGTACTACTCTGATTAATAATTATTTGCTATAGTATTGAAATTTGATTACCTCATATAGAGTAAATGATTTTGATGCAAAAGAAGACACTCTAATAAAGAGCTCAATTATTAGATACAGTCTAGCTAACTTTTCAAAAATGATAATCTGACAGCTTATTACACAATAGGGAACCCTATATACCTGCAGTTTCATTTAAGCATAACAATTTAGAAAATTAGAACAACACTCGTTCAAGTTCACTATGACTGCAAATTAGAGTGGGTAAGCGAGCATAGCAAAAGAATTAAAGACAAACCCATCAGCACGACCACACTGGCCAGGCCTTGAAGCAATTGCAGCTAACAAGCGGCCTCCTGCAAATTGTTCCTCAATATGTGGGTCAATTTTATGATCCTTTTGGCGCTCTTCCAATTTCCTAGCAACATGATTGCTTTTCTTCTCCTCAGGAGCAGCAGCCTCAGTGGTATCCTGAATAAATAAACAGAAAAAAATGTGAGTGAATTAATGTACAAAAAGGTTCACTAAAAACTCGCACATTGATCCAAACAACCATCAGCGTGTACCTAGCATTTCTTTTAAGAAATCAAATGTATCAGGAAATTAAATACTTAGAAACAAAATAGAAGTCTTTTTTCAAGCAGTGAAAATGATCAAGTTTTAATAGAGGGGCATTTCATTACCTCTCCTTCTTTTTTGGCAGAAGCAGTCTTTTTCTTGCGACCAACTTCAACTCCATAGTGCTGGAGATACCACTGCTTAAATGGTGCAGCATCCACTTGAACAATAGCACCCTTAACCAATGTCTGGGTCCTGACCAACTCATTGTTTGATGCATTATAAACCACATCCAAAATCCTAGTCTTCCTGGTGAGAGCCTCACTTCCCCAAGAATAGTTCCCAGTATCCAATCTCAAGGCACGCCACTTCAAATTGCCCCCTCGAACCCTGACCCTTCGAACTGTTTTAGCATTTGGTACCAGCTTTGTGTTTGCAGGTTGTCTTCCGAGCTCATACCTTGAGAAAAGTAAATAAAAAAGAAAAAACACTTGTGAATATAATCTGCAGAAAGAAAAAGTATACATGCTAACAAGTGTGATTGTCTTGATTTCTCTCATGACAATTGAATAATAGAATCGGCCATTCAGTTTCCTATTTTAATATTACTTGAGTAGACTATACGTAGGCTATACACAAACTCTAAAAATACTCATATCACTAGCCGTAGAAAAGAATATAAGAACAAAATTCCAATGTAAGACGATCCAATTTCATCCACATACTTTCGCTTCTTCCTCCAGGCCTTCTTCTTACCTCCAGTAGCTCTCCTTTTATGCATCGAATCCCGAGAGATACCTGCGACATCAGCATTATCATCACTCACATTGTTCGCTCAATTCTTAAATTCCGTTTTAGATTAGAGTATCAAAGAAGATATAACGAATTAGATCGATAAGTATTGAATTATCAGTACCCATGGCTGACGGCGAAAAGTTCTGGTTTCTGACAGTTCCCCGGCGCGGCTACGATCGCGGTGAGTCTGCAAGTGATTTAGGGCTGCATTCGGAAAAACCCTAACACGCCCAATTATGGTTTTGTACTTTGAAAATGACAAATGGGCTGGGAGTCTAGTATCCAGCAAGTGGGCTGAAAAGTAGGAATCTCGACAAATAAATCATGTCGATCCTAAATAAAGTTCACACTTTCCTTTTTGGATCGATCCAAAATAAAGTTCACACTTCTTCTCCCTTTCTTTTTTTGGCAAAAAATATAGATCAAAACAGTGCAAAATAGTGCAAAACAGTGTCAAATAGTGTCACAACAGTGTACTCTACAGTAAAGTCAAATTTATTTCCTTAATTTGTGTGAAGTCAAGCACTGAACTTTATTTTGGACCGGAGGGAGTGTGTGTGTGTGTATGTGTGTGTGTGTGTGTGTGTATATATATATATATATATATATAGAGAGAGAGAGAGAGAGAGATCAAATACAAATCATGCTGAATTTACAAAGTACAAACTTATCTTGCCCATCCGATGAGTTGATCTCATTTTCATTTACCCCAGTGTCGCAAAGGCTCCCACCTACGGTGGGGTAAGGGGGGGGTCAGATGTACGCAGTCTTACCCCTGTACTAAAAGCACAGAGAGATTGTTTCCGGATGACCCATAGTGAAAATCCCGTCCAAAATTGCATGGACTGACTGCTGCTTCATAACAAAGAAGCGCAGACAGTTTAGTGAGCCATTTTGCTTTATTCCATCATAATCTCAAGCCAAAAAATAATGAATCTTTGGCTCCATTGCAAATGATGGAAAATCCGATGAGTTGATCTAAAGGATATAAATGCAATGTGGCATTTTGTAATAAAACCTAAATTTTCTAGGGTGCAACTCATTGAACGTAAATGTGCAACTGCTATTTTATGACTATATAATATGCAACACTTTAAACCTCAATATTCAATGCAAATAACGTCAAGGTGCATCGTACAAACATTTGCACAATAAACATAGTTTGTACTTGATCTTTCCCTTATATATATATATATATATATATATATATATATATATATGTATGTATATATATATAGAGAGAGAGAGAGAATTATTCCTGTCCGGAATTCCAGACAGGCACCGTCGTCCGTACGGCGGCGTTTGGCCGCCTTCCCGGTGAAATTTTTGGATGCACTTTTTATGGCATCTTCTTCATCAAGTCTGATTTATCCAAAAAATCAGCTAAAAACTCAATCGGGAAGGCCATCAAATAATTTTTGAAATTTAATTGCGTTTTATATGTATATTTTGGCGCAGTTATCTTCCAAAAATCATTTGACGGCCTTTCTGATTGAATTTTTAGCTGAATTTTTTGTGAATGAACTCGACTTGATGAAGAACATGGCATAAAAAATTCATCCGGAAATTCCACCTTGAAGGGCCCCAAAACCCGTCATCCGGACGGCGGTTCCGGTCAGGAATTTCTGACCAGAAGAGTACTATATATATATATATATATATATATATATATATAGGGAGTGGTTCCGGTAAGAACGGACTCCCAGGAGAGAAATAAGAACGAATCTGGACCGTTAGATTGTATTATGTGGAACGGAATTGTGCATTTGATGAAACTGAAATGTGTACTAGATGATACTGAAATGTGCAGAATAAAAATTTAAACTCAATTGTCAATTAGGTGAAACTGAAATTAGGCTTGGGACCGGTTCGGTTCTTACTCAAAAATAGTGGAACCGTTATTTAAATTTTAACAAATGAAATCGGTTCGGTTCCTATATAAAAATCAAGAACCGATATGGAACTGAACCAATGCTAAACGGTTTGGTTCTTGCTTTTATCGGTTCCTAGAATATTTTTTTCGTGTAAGAATTAACACATAGTTTAGCTTCTACCACATGAAAACGTCAAAAAGTCAAAACAAGTCATAAACATTTATTTAGAGTTCTAATCACTCCAAACATCAAAGCTCGGACTTAAGTGAACACTTGATAGAATAAAAAGAAGATTTTAATTTTCATTTAATACATAAAATATAAAAATCGTTCGTTATGTCGTTGAAATGAAGGTTGCTCATCATTATAGTGGCAAGGATAGGACGTACACCTTATGCCTCTCAAAACCTAGAAATACATTGAGTTTGCATGTACATCCTATTGATGGAACAAAACTTGATTTGTAAAAATGAGCTTAATGTATTCAACCTCATGTGCAAATATTTTTTATTTTTGTTTTTATAGATTAGACTAAATTAAAATTATTGGCTAAATATCATTTATTTATTTATTTATTATTGTTGTTGTTGTGTTTATTTTTGTTATATTAGTATTACTACTAATACTACTACTATTATTTTTATTTTTATATTTATATTTTTAATATCGGTTCCTTAACGGTTCTGTGCATATATTTTTTATAGGAATCAGGAACTGAACCGTTAACAACAACTAGGAACCGAACCGTTAACAACTAATATCTCATTTGTAGGAACCGAACCGAACCGGGTTATAACGGTTCGGTTCCAACCGATTTAACGGTTCCCGGTTCCAAAATCCCACCCCTAACTGAAATGTGCTGAATAAAATGTACAAAAATAACATCACATTGTACCTTTTATTCTACACATTTCAGTTTCACCTAGTGCACATTTTAATTTCACCTAATGCACAATTCAGCTTCATATAATGACATTGTATCGTATGCTTTGTGTTGCACATTTCAATTTCACCTAATGCACATTACAGTTTCATGTAATGCACATTAAATTTCACTTAAAGCAAATGTATATAGTGGTTCGAGTGAGAAAAAACTTCCAGAAGGGAAATGAGGTTTTTTGGATTAATTAATTATATACTACGGTATAAGACAAATGAATCATATCATATATATATAGTGGTTCAAGTGAGAATGAACTTCCAGAAGAAAAATGATAATGAATCTGGATCGTTGAATTGTATTACGTGAAATTGAACTTGAAGGGTAAGCGATTATTGCACTCACAATTGATGATGTAAACAAGATCAATGATTTCATGATGTTGGAGAACAGCTCACAGGAAAAGACCTATTTCATTTCAGATCTAGTGTGTTCCTCTATCTCAGACAATGAGTTCCTTCAAGAAATTTGTTTTCTTGAGTTTCTTAACGTAATAAAATGTTCTAGTGTTGCGAGTCACGAGTTAAAGCTAAAAGTTGGTGTACCGGTGATGCTAATGAGGAGATAGATCACTCAGGCGACTTGTGTAATGGTACCCAACTTTTAGTGACAAGACTTGGTGCACATATTATTGAGACCCAAGTGATGTCTAAAACTAATGCAGGTGAGAAGTTTCTTATTCCCAGGATTTGTCTAACCCCAACGAATGTGAGACTCCCTTTTACATTTATGCGTAGGCAATTCTCCTTGATGGTTAGCTATGTGATGACGATGAACAAAAGCCAAAGACACTCTTTAGAAAGTGTGGGTGTTTTTCTACGATGCCCTGTTTTTACACATGGACAATTATATGTGGCAGATTCAAGGGTGACGAGCCCATCTGGCTTGAAGTTCGTGATACGGGAAATCAGAAAAGAATCACAAAAAATGATGTCTACAAAGAAGTTTTCAATAATTTGTAACTTGTGTGCTTGTTAAACTTCAAATATTTTTTATTATATGTTTACAAATGGTTACTCTCATTCGCATGATAAATTATAATATAGTCTTTAATTATATTTAGAAGTTGAGATTTATAATATTAGTATTTTACACACTGTGCAACTCACGGATGAAATACTAGTATTACTGATAAAAAAACTATTTTTTTTCAAATTTTAAAAAAATGTGACTAATAAGTAATATGCTTACTTTTTACTCACTACTAGAGTGATATACTATAGTGACATGTTACAGTGACATGCTACAGTGATAGGGACACAGTGACATCCACCACCACCTCTAACCAGTAACTGTCGCCGATCGGAGACTGCTAGGGCGCCGATCACAGTGACACCAATGACCACAATGAAACCGCCACAGTGATGATGCCACTGCCCAGTGACACCTGATTTTCTAGTGACATCGCCCACCAGAAGTTACTCCGGTCGTCGCCACCTCGTCAATGTGTGACCATCGGAAAGTTTTTCGGCTTCTTTTTCGGCTTCTCGGTGCCCAGCCCAAGCTACCACTGCTGCCGTTCACCAACCCATCCCTCAGTTGCCACAACTACCGACCACCGCCACTGCCTCGATGACCCACCACTGCCCTTGACCTACCCTGGCCTTACGCACCTCCTCCCCCGGGCCCCAGTCCCTGCTCCCTGCCCTGCCCCCTATCTTCTCACAGGCCTCTCTCTGACCAGTTCGCCCAAAAGCTTAGCCATATCACCACCCCACCACCATGGAACCCTCACCGCACCCCATCAACAACAGCGGTCCAAAATCGGAGTCGTCGTCCAATGAGATAGCAAATTCGGTACCGATGCCCCCAGATTACAATCGTCATCCATCAAGGATGTCAGATCCAGCACTGGCGGCCCTACATTGGAGTCGTTGTCCATCAAGGCGATGGATCGAGCATTGGTAGCCATCTACGACGACATAGAAGCTAACCGAGACGCGGTCATCGACAATTGGTCAGCGGAGGCGCGACCATCGACTAGTGGAGGCACAGTCATCAGGAAACGAGGACGACGTGTAGCGGTAGTAACAGTGAAGAGGGAAATGAGAAGAACAAGAAGAAGAGAGTGACAATGGGAGAAAGACATCAACGAAAGATCGGCGGTGGCTGGAGAGCGACAACGACTAAAGAGCAGTAGCGGCAAAGAGAATAGGCCTTGTGGATGAGGATGTGAGGGTAGACACGTTTGAGAGAGGAAAAGGTTTGGGCGTCCGGACATGAGCTTACTTTTAATCACTTTTTTGTCATTGTAAATATTAATCATGTGTATGTCCACTAACACTCTATAACTAATATTTAGGCCATTCTTTCTTAAAAGATATATTCTAAATAATTAATGCAAATTTCTTAAATAGGACCAAATGTGATGTAATTATTCAAAATAGGAGTGCTATATTTTCTGCTAAATATGAATAGTTACTGGTGAACGACAATACTTTACACCTATTAGTGGAAAGAATTTTCAATTCTACTTAGAGAAATGAAAATACAATACTATTCTCTCGATGTATTGTGAAATTTCTCTTAGCACATGAATTATTTTAATATTCCGGTCAACATTTC